ACTGGTTACATATATGATCGGCATAATCTCAGCAAAGTATGCTATACTTTTTCAGTGTTTTTTGCAATTTTGTGCTATTTACGTTTGTATCTTGCTTAGATGATTTCCAGTTTATCTTGTACTAATATTATGATGTTTATTGCGAATATTCTAGTTTGAAAAAGGAGATTTTCCAGTGCTGATCATTCTATTTTGATCTTGTTTGCCAAATCCCAACTTTTGACTCTAAGTCAGGGCCAAAAGGGTGAAAAACTTAAAAATGGTATCATGATCTCATTGACTACAACAATATGTTTCTGGAAACTTCTACTTTGGCTAATAGTATGATATTGGGAAAATTATTTATCTTTGGCTGCTCAGTTGTATTATACAGGTCTCCCTAACCCTGAGGGTAGGGTAAAGGCCTGAGGACAAAGTCCTTCAGGTCGCCAGTTCGAGCTCCAGCAGGGCCACTGGAGGCATTACAAACCGGCCGCGTCTCCAGGGCCCCGTGGAACTAACCGTGGTGCACCCGTCTTGAAACAGCGGGACCCGGTGGGTACAGCTAGTCGGGTTCGCAAAGCGATACCTGAAAACCACGGCAAAAAAAAGAAAAAGGTCTCCCTGTCAGTTGGGACCTTTTCTGAGTTGTCACTAGCAAAGCATTCCACTACAGTTTCTTTGACAACCATCTGTATACAGTTAATATGTAATCAATTATAATGGGTTCTTTTTAGTTTGCTGATAATGCTTAAGATGATATGGCAATATCAGGCAATTTCATCTATATTCTCAAGGTTTTGACTCTTCTTCCGGTGTATATTTCAAACTGGAAAAAAAACCCTCTAAAAACTTAACTTCAATTTCCTTCTCCTCACAGAAACTTAGAGCTGGTTTCGCTTCGATTTCAGTTGTCTTCTGTATTCCATCTGCTTGAACTGTAAGATCACCATTTTCAGAAAATGACGCTCGGGTTTTTGTCCAAAATCTTCTTATACCATATAAACTGTCATTTTGTTATGCAGAAATATGCTGTGTATTAATCCTTGCCTGTTTTGTGGTTATTTGTATTGATATGTACTCGGAATTTCCTTTATCACCCCTCCCCCACCCCCACCCCCAAATATTCTTACAGTTACAAACTTGTAATTTCTCTTCAGTTTGAGAAGTTTCGCCATGATATGCCCGATGGTTGGGGATTGGCAACTGATGGAAAAATCCTTTATGGGAGTGATGGATCTTCTACACTGTATCAGATTGACCCTCAAACTATGAAAGGTTTTGTCGTCTGAAGGTCAAATTACAATTCAGTTGTTTTATTCTTCATATAAGAATGTATTATTTTGTTCTTATGCTTTCTTTTCTCATTGTTGCAGTAGTTAAGAAACAAATCGTAAATTATCAAGGTGATGAAGTACACAGACTCAATGAACTAGAGTATGTTTATGACGAAGTTTGGGCGAATGTTTGGATGGTATGGACTTGTTCTCCCACAACCTCCTCTTTAGAACAATTGATTTCCTATTATACATCACAATTATATTCATCAAACATGAACCTGTGAAAGTTATTAGGAAGAATCTTTTCTCTAACTACGAAGCAGAGCATCTTGAGATTCTTTTTGAAACTCAATCTGTATTTTACTTGTTCTGCTAGTGTGAGTACTTATGCACAAGTCCATTTATGGGGCTACAAGGCATCATCATTAAGACTTAACAATGACTACTTTGTCCGAACTCAATATATGGGTTCTGGATATTTGTACCTTATCACCGAACTTGGATCAATTGCTGCTTTTTGATTTTCTGTGTAGTGGTTTCTTCGATTTCTATGTTTAATGAAGAGCTTTCTTTAATAACACGAGCAACCAAAATGATAGAGGATATTTTCCGAGTACATAAGTTCTCAGTGTTGTCAAAGGATCACTTCAGAATTCAGATCCTTATATAAAAGAATCACCCAGAGACATCTTTAAACCACGGTGTTCTTGTAGGCAACACTTCACATCACTTAGACAGAGCTTCAGAGAGTGCACGAAAGCGCTAATGCATGAGCCTCAACAATTCTGGCTTGCGCTGTCTTGAAGAGAGTGTGGCTCTGAACTCTTTTAGGTGGTAGTCCAGTTTAGAAACCAAGGCACCTAAGCATTTGCCTGAGTGTCCATAGGCTCCATCTTGCACGAGACATTAGGTATTAATTAACAAAACAATTGGTTGTTAATAAAATAAGAAAAACTAGTCCGTAAGTTTGAATTGGAGACTCAAAGCTGCATCATCACAACTGAATCAGGTATTTAATTGGTATTTGAATTGATTGATTTATAAAAAAGTGATTTTTGAGCTTGATTGACAAAGCTTTCTGTTTCATATAATTCACTGAATTGTTTCCAACTCCTTTTTATCTATAATTACTTTTGTACTTATAGTTATTTCTGTATTCTGCCTTTCTTTGCCAAAGAGCGCATTAACTGTGATTTGTGCTGGAGTCCTAGCTAACTTTTGTGATTTTTTTGTTTAACAACAATACCAGTTCTAGTAAACATCATTGTACAATAGCTCCTGTTTGATTCATGAAGCCCAAACCATTTGGATAATTTCTTTTACAACTCAAGTGTGACGTAGGGTTAATTCTGACACAATGTCTCTGCAGACTGACTGTATAGCTAGAATATCACAAACTGATGGCTCAGTTCTTGGATGGATTCTTCTCCCCAATCTGAGGTTCTTCTATCAACTCTTTCCTAGTAGCATCATTCCAGTATTTGGAATTTTATTACTTCATGAAAAAGTTCTATGTAGAGTGAAATGATGCATTAACTTCTATTTCTTATGTAGAGAAGGATTGCTACACAATTTGAAAAAGGTCAGTGTCCTATAGCAACTGCTTTAGGTTCTGGGTATGATGTTTACTTGGACCGTTGGAACATTTCCTTTAACACTTAAATTTTCTGCAGCAAATTGACGTGCTGAATGGCATAGCATGGGATAGGGATGGTGACCGTCTTTTTGGTAAGCTCCGTTTGATATAAATTCTATTGTTCTTTAGTAACAAGTATACCATTGCGAGGAAATATTCATTACGGCAAATTCATTCTTTATTCAGTCACAGGCAAATTATGGCCGAAGCTTTATGAGATTAAGTTGCACCCTTTGAAGACACCATTCAACGGAGACATCAAGCAGATGTGCATGCCCCCGGCATTTCCATTTTCATGATCCCTGCAGTGGATTTTTCTTTTTCAAATTCTGGATTATTCTGTTAGTGCATCGATTTTTGGGTCTAGTTGGAGAGAGAGAGAGAGAGCCACATGCAGATTTTGAGAGTGTACTGAGTACACAGATTTTTCTATATGTACTTCCCCAGAAAAGAAACAAATTGTAGATACTCAACTCAATTATTATTTGGTTTAGAGTAAAATGCAACTCAAGTAGAAACAAAAGATGACGTTTATGATCGAGTATACTATTCAGCTTTTCATTTGATTTTTAGTTTGATCCTTCAAGCTTCAGGAGTTAATTAATTTCACCATTGGCTGCTGTTTGAAAAGCAAAAGGTATGGTACCTTCATCAAGCTTTACTTGGGAAAAAATTCATTATTTTGTTGGGACTTGGGAATACCTCTCTGATCAAACACAGTTACAATCTTCATATTTTTTTCTAATCAAGTTTTTGCGTGGATCAATTATTTTGGGGTGGTCTTTAATTTTTGTTTCTACGGTTCTTTTAATAAAGAATTATGGGCCAAAATATTTTTAAATATGATCTAAAAATTGTGTTATATCGACTTCGCAGGACATAAGTACAAAAAACTTTTGACCTTATACGACAAAAGTTCTATATAGATAAGTTGCATATGTGGTTTCTAATTTGAACTTATGCCTTTACCGGTGCAAATATCGCAGGAACTAAAATATGTTTTGTAAGGTATAACTTTGTGATTTTTGAATTGAACTTATGACTCTATTGGCTTAAGTCTTGTAGAACCAAAATATGTTTGTAAGACCTAACTTGTGTGTGTTATGAATTTTTTAATGCATAGTGTTTTCAAATTGAAGTTAAAATCCCTTCTGCCGTAAACTAAGTAATGCCTAGTAAGACATAGCATATTCTAGTAGGACTTAAGCTTATTATGATACAAAATTTCAAACATTAAGGTTATTTTCCACCACTCTTTAGGGCGAAAACTAAAGACCACCAATAAATTGAGGCATTGTGACCAATAAATCGAATAAAAAGAAAATGTAATTGGGTTATTGATAAAAAAAATTTATTGAGTTATTGGTTCGATATGAATTTTTTATTATTGGATTATTGGGTAAACGGATAATCTAATATGACAATAATAATTTATAATATTACCCTTCCTAAATATTAGATATTACAAATTTAATATATAACTAAACACTCTAATTATATCGAAGTGCTCTATCCACTTCAAGATTCACAATTATAGCTTATATTGATTTAGTTTTAGTTTTAGTCTTGTTGGACTATTTGATTTTAGTTTTAATTTGTAATTGTAGGTTGTAGCTTTTGGTTATTGTATGTCATGTGTATAAATTTATAATACATTCTACTTCATTAAATCACGTAATAATGAAAATTGCATTGCCTTGGTGTTAAAATACGGTGCAGATGTTTTTTCCTTTTTGAACTATATTTTCTCTCATTGATACAATAAAAACATTTTAGAGAACTGAGAAGTCATATAATATTTTATGGACATTTTCGATTAAAAATAGATAAAAAATATATCCTATTAATTTGTTATTGGGTTAACATACTTAAAAATAAAAAATTGATAATACATAAAACGGAACCGAAACATGATGCAATATTTGTGCGAATGAACCAATTTTGTTGAAGATATCCCGCTGCATAAGGATGTCACAATTTTGTTATATTAAATATCACAGCATTTAAATTACGAGACGTTAAGAGTTTTAGTTGAAAACAAACTCTCTCTTATTCAAAGTCTCTCTATAAAAGGCTTTTTTACTCCACTTTAGCATTGTGTGAGAATGTATCTCAACTTATCAACCATCATACAGAGGCTTTCGAAGCCAATTCCATTATTTGGGATCAAATTATGGATTGCAATTATCACTTGCATTGTTCTTTTCGTCCTCATCTGTATCACTACTCTCTGTATCATCATAACCAGACAGTGTCGCCGCCGTAAAGCACGTAAATCCTTGAAGCCAATCGACATGAAAAGTATCCCAGGAAAACAAGTGATAGTTTCTACTAGTAGAGCAACTAAGCCTAATTATCAATTCAGATTGATAGAGATTCAAGCGGTAACAAATGATTTTGCTGATGAAAACGTAGTTGCTTGCGGAGATTATGCCATTGTTTATCATGCTATCATGTTTGGCAATACTAGAGTTGCAATAAAGCGGTTGCTCAGTTGCACCTAAATATAAATAGGTAGACATTCTCGTTTGAATTGAATTTTAGGAGGATCAATTTTTTCATTGTATCTTATTATTCGATTCTTGTTTCGAACATAGGACTAAAGCAATGGAATTTACAGGGGAGGTGGAAGTATTATTGGGACTGAGACACAAAAACTTGGTGAAATTGATTGGTTATTGTTTTGAAGGGAACTACAGGTACTACAAATCCTGTATCTATAATCCATTAAACTTCCATTCTTAATGCATTTGGATGCCAACTTTGTTTGTAAATTATTCGATCAGGATAATTGTGGAGGAGTATGTAGACAATGGCAATCTAGGGCAGTGGCTTCATGACTGCACCAGTGAAGTTAGCCCCTTGACATGGAATATTCGGATGAACATTGTGCTTGGAATTGCAAAAGGGTGTGTGTGTTTTAATTAACAATTTAGTTAAAAATAAAACTGGTGCACTAAGTATGCACACACGCTCAAACCAGTGACCTATAGGTCGTCTCACGGAACATTTGGATAAATTATTTACATATTTGTTGCAGTTTGGCTTACCTTCATGAGGATACTGAACCAGCTGCTATAATACATCAACACCTGAAGTCAAGTAGCATTTTGCTAAATAGGCATTGGAATCCAAAAATTTCTGATTTTGGTATCACCAATTTCTTAGATTCTGATGAAAGGAGTAATCACCCAATAACAACCCCTCCTGGAATGGCAGGGTGAGTTAGTTTCTTTGTATATATTGCTCGAACTCTTCAAAAATGTTCTCATCTTACAATTTTTGAGGATCCAATACAAGGTGCTATAGCATTTTAACACTACAAGCCTCTCTTTTTTCGATTGATTAATAACTTTCTTCTTTATGGCCTTGTTTCAGCTATCTTGCACCAGAATATTTATCCACCGGAATTTTCGACGAGAAGAGTGATGTTTACAACTTTGGTATACTTATCATGGAGATCGTGTCTGGAAAGCCTTCCATAGAGTACACTAGCACAGAAGATGAGGTCAAAAAATTTCTACTCTTTTTTTGGCATAATTGCTCAAAAAAGTGATCTAAAATGAGTTATGATCAATTTGCAGGAATGTTTAATTGACTGGATGAAATCAATGGTGGAAAGACAACAATATGATCAAATAGTGGATCCAAAGATAGCAGAAAGGCCTAATATGAAAGAAGTGAAAATATTTCTGCTCATTGCTCTTAGATGTGTTGATCCAGATGTCAACAACAGGCCTAAAATGGGAGAAGTGATTCATATGCTGCAGCCGCGCGATTTACTTATTGAGCGATGTAAACATGATTCCTCTGCTTCATCATAACTTCAAAAGCATTAATAAAAACAAAGGCGTTTAATCTTTATACACTGACTGATCCATATGTTACCGCTCATAGTAACCTGAAAAATAAGACAGATAACTTGTTACTATGACATGTTAGATCACAGCATCACACTAATAGTTTGGAAACAAAGAACCTATAACAGGTGAAAATTTTGCTAAAGTAATCGAGTTGTGGTGCTTACATTCCCTTGTTTACTCATTTTTTAGAGTGTGTTTTTCCAATTTTCTTGTGTTTGGTTGGGACAAAAGTTTTGGAAAATGTTTCCAAATCAACTCATTTTCCTCGAAACTAAGGAAAATGACTTTCCTTCAAAAATTAAAGAAAACATTTTCCAAATCTTTCCTCAAATTTTAAATTAAATTTTTTTAGGAAAAACGATAAAAAAAAATTTCATTTGAATTCATATTTTTTAATTGACATATTTAAATTCTAATAAATAGCTAAAATAGGAAAATATATTTCTACGAAGTAAAATTATCAAAACTAACAAATTTTAGATTGAAAATAATGAAACCTATATAACAAGTTGATAACTTGAATCACTTTTCGATACTTTAATGTGCTTAAAAATATTGAAGTATTGAGCAAACTAAGCTATTATATAAAGTAATTCATCAAAATAAATATATTTTTTAAAAATTTTACAAAACTAGTATAAACGTATTTTACAGTAATGTTTTAGGGTATATTTTATTTTTTAAAAATTGACGACGTTAGGTTGATATACGTTACTCATAGTAATAGTAACGTTTTACTCCTAAAACGTTACTGTAAGTACGTTTTAGAAGTAAAACGTTACTCAAAAAAATATTTTAGGAGTAAAACGTTACTCACAGTAACGTATATCAACCTAACGCCGTTAGCTTTTAAAAAATGAAATATAACCTAAAATGTTACTGTGAAATACGTTTATACCAGTTTTGTAAAATTTTTAAAAAATATATTATTTTGATAAATTATTTTATATAAGGTAAAAGATTAATATTGGTATAAAACAAAAAAATTAAAATAAAAATGGCAATTTACTTTGGATTGTCTTGTTTTTATAGAATTGTTTATGAATGGAGAAAGGACCAGAAAATATGGAAGGTAACAAGAGAAATATATCCTATTCGAAGAAAAATTTAAAATAAACTAATTTTGGTTTCAAGTTCTTTTCTGAAAGAACCTTACATTTCTTTTTAAGTCAAACTCCATAAAAAAAATTAACCAATCACCATACACCAACCTAAATAATTGTACTGGCTATAATGTAGTGCATATTTTGATAGAGAACCATTTAAAATCACAATAATTATATTTAATTGTTTACTTTGTAAAATACTAGTACTAAAAATAAGATGAATATTACTGCTATAATATTTTAAGTAGTTAACGGTTAACAATTGAATCATGCTCGACACTTATCTAAAAGCATTTTAAACAAGTCTTTTCTAATTTCTAACTAAATAGAGAACATAAGAATTAACAAATTAATTAACATCAAGCTGAATTTAAAAGAACAAAAGATAATAAGAACTTGTTTGGATGAGATTTCAGCTTTAAGTCAACCGTCATAAATTAGAAATTCCTATTATTTTGGCTTAAAACTAAGTGTTTATAAGCACTTCTTTGAGGTAAGCTATACAATTAGGATTGACTTGGTAAAGTGTATAAGAACAATGCAAAATAGAATGTATTAATAATACTTGCATTACTAGTGCTTGCACTAGTCATGTTTGCATTATTTCTTTTTAATACTGTATCAAATTTATTAACATTACATGAATTATTATCAAAAGAAATAATTTCACTCTAAATAACAAGATTGATGATATATCAAATTCTTTTTTTAAAATTTTTTTTTTCTAAGTAGTCACGACAAGAGCATTTTCATTTTTAAAGGAAGGAATAGTTTTTCACATCCATAATTAAATTCAAACACGCGATGCACATGGAGTTTGAGCAAGTATACTGGGGCAGGAGGGCCAAGCCGGTTACCCATCTTACCCTATATCAATCAAATCCGACGGTGGAGATAACTCGACGTTGTCAACAGGTCAACTGATTTATAATTATTCTTCATCAAATCTTCTTAATAATTAATCATCAATGGCTTCTTCTGCTTCAACTACTCACCTTGACGAGAAAATGTCTCTGCTAATTCGAAGGTTTGTAGTTGTAGGCTTGATTGTTCTGCTGAGCTTTGCCGTATTGAGTGAAGCTGAAGCATCCTATGGAGCTTACAAAGTCGAAGTCATCAATGAATTCCCTCACGACCCCGAAGCTTACACTGAGGTTCCTTACTCTTTTCGCGATTTTCTCTATTTTTCAACATTAGCATTATGATTTTCGAGTTTTCTGGATTATATAGTTGGTGGAAATGAGAAATTTAGGCGCTGATCACAATAGCTCAGCTAATGTTGTTCGTCCCCAAATTTTTGGTAAAATGTACTTTCTGGTGACGGTAGCTTTTACTTGGAAACATTTTTTTAAAAGTTGAATCTGAAGCATTTTGGTGATATTTTTTGAGTTCATGAAACTTAATTATTTGTGTTCGGTCCTGATGCGATGTGTTTATTCTTCAGGGGCTTCTCTACGCAGAAAATGACACACTCTTTGAATCAACTGGACTTTACGGACGTGTGAGTTGTCTTGTATATATATATATACATATTTGATTTGACTTCATGATTATTTTTTAGGCTTGACATGGATAGTTCTCTCTTTCTGAAAAGTGCAGTCATCTGTTCGGAAAGTTGCATTGCTGAATGGTAAGGTATGTCTACAATTGCTTACGAAAAAGTAAAACTACAATACAATTTTGAAGTTCTGTGAGGATTTAAAATAAGTATTCATGTTTGTTTTTTCTCTGTTGGCTTCTCCGTCATGGCTGGAGAATAAGAAGATTTTGTCACTACATTTCTGCTTAGTATAGCAGGCGCACAGGGCAGCTTCTGCCAATTGAAAATGCTAACATATCTATCTATAAGCTGCATTATCTGTTTTTATGAAGTTTATGGTGCGAGAAAGAACAGGTATCTATTGTTGAAACATAAAGTGTGCCATCTTGGACCTAAAAGGAACCTTCTATTGCTGGCTCCGCAGGTTGAGACTGTTCATGACATGCAGGCTTCTGACTTTGGAGAGGGTTTAGCTCTTCTTGGTGAGAGGTAAGGCATTGATTCTGGAAATAATGTGGAAAATATGTTGTGATAACTGCTAAGTAAGCAACCTTTCATTTATCAGATAGGATAATATGTAGCACTTATATGCTGTTCTATCATCTCCTTGTAATGGTTGAAATTGAATTCTGTCCTGAATATTGCAGCATTTTTTGAATGGTTATGAGCACATCAAATTTTTGTAGGAATATCTGTAAGCCTAGTGTTGCTTGTATATCAATAGCATTTAGCTTTTGTATTAGTTTTGGGCCAATTGTCATTATGAAACTGCAGATAAGTAAATGCTGTTGCAAATAATAATTAACCGACTCGAATTCGGTGAAACTTTGTTTATAATCTGAAGTTTTGGCTGTGCTCTAGTAGCAGTCTTTTACTTAATTAACAACTCCGGCACTCCCTATGTCCAATTTGGTTCTCCAACTTTGACTAGGTACATAGAAGAAGAAGTAAGAGTTGAAATTTTATTCCGTCTTTAGAAATGGGTTTAAAATTATACATGTATGGAAGCTTCCCTTTAATGAAAACATGCTTGAGATAGCCGAAAATAGAAACTATAACAATTGATTCGGAAGAGAGACAAAGCTGATTTTCGGATTACTTAGATATTCATAAATCATGATATATTTTCTGGTTGTACGTTAGACCAGACCAAGTTTTCTCTTCTTTAGCTTTTCCTTTTTGATCGTTATGTCTTTTTGTTTCCTTTCCTTTATCTTTTAGTGATAGTTTACTATTTTGAATTTAAATTGATCACTAGTTCTTATGCAACAACTGTCGATTTTTGCAGCTTGTTCCAACTAACATGGTTGCAGGATACTGGTTTCATATATGATCGATACAACTTTAGCAAAGTATGCTTGGCTCCATTACTTTGTGTGCTTTCATTTGAATCATCTTCTTTTCATGATTTTAATTTGGATGTTGCTTGTTGTAATATGAAAGCTCCTCATGTATTTTATGAGAAAAGTAAGTAGGATTATTGCCTCATTTAACTTCACTGCCTTCACATGTTAGTTAACTGTTTATATTGTGCTGTTTCATCCTTGATATGTGGTGTCAGGTCCTCTGTTTGACGTTCAAGTTAAAATTGTCATCTCGAATATGAAATTCTCCTTTCCTATAACTTCACATGGAACTATGAAAATTTGATTGACTATATCCTTCTCTTAAGAAGCTGGCGGAAGCCCTTTACTGGAGCAACCAAATTCTTTTTTATAGTTACCCCTAGCTCACTATTTTTTTAAATTAAAATTATATGCAGTTCAAAAAGTTTACTCATCACATGCAAGATGGTTGGGGATTGGCAACTGATGGGAAAGTACTTTTTGGAAGTGATGGAACATCAACATTATATAAGATTGACCCTAAGACAATGAAAGGTTTTTCCATCTACGGTCTACATGATATTTAGTTTTTTCTTTGCTTCCTTAAAATGGAGATACTTATTTTCTTAATGCAGTCATCAGAAAACAAGTTGTCAAGTCTCAAGGGCATGAAGTGCACTACCTCAATGAGCTGGAGTATGTGAAAGAGGAAGTATGGTCAAATGTCTATGCGGTACAAATCTCTCTTTTACTGAGTTCCATTTGGGCTTTAGATTTGTTATCCCCATTTATTTACACTATCCACATATTTAGAAGCCATGGAGCAACTTTAACAATAGTTGTTTTGGTTATGGTATTCAGTGGAATAAGTCCTGAAAACAACCTTGCTCAAGAAGCTAGTTGTATTATGTCAAATAAGTTTGTACAACTTATTAGGTTTCTGATAAAGATATATATTGTGCATGACATCACTGTACGAACCAGTATTCT